ATTTTGCCAATCTCTTTTCAGTTCACAAAGGCATTTCTGGAGAGTTGGTTGCACATTGGCAGCTTAAACATGACAATCCCCATCAGCTGGTCACCTGAGGTTGGGAGGGTCCACAGGATCCTCCGTTTAGTCTGTACTAGTTCATCTTGGCCCAGAGCCTCTCTCTGCAAGGGATCCAGTCGGGAATGTGAATGTGACCACAGCCTCTCCGCTCTGAGGGAAGCAGGAAGGCTTCCAATTCTCATTGCTGATTCTAGTTCCTCGACTGGAAGGGGTATGAGATAAGACAAGCGTGGAAGGGGGAAAAGCCAGGCAGCAGTTTCCGGGCAGCTTCTATCCTGGAGTTAAGAGCCAGTGTGGGTCTATATGTGTGTGTGTGTGTGTGTGTGTGTGTATGTGTGAACACACAGCCACCTGGTTCAGGGGCCAGTGCCCAGCTCAAGAGCTTTGCTACAGGCCAATCCTGCTGACACCTCCCCGGTTCCCAGGACTTTCAGGGGAGGAGTAGTGCTGTGCTGATGGCAAGTCTCAAAGTCTGTATAAAAGGAGATGGAGACAGGTGGACTGGTCCAGAGTGAAGTCCCAGGACCCCAACCCCATGTGAGGAAGAGGGGGTCAGAGGGAGGGAGGAAGTGGGGGCTTAGTGTATGTAGGCCCGGTACACGGCAGACATGTCGTTGTCAGACTGGTCCAGTGCCTTGGCTCTTTTGTACACCTGGAAAAAAATGAGATGAGCTCAGTCTCTGACCATATAGCTGACTTAAAAACATGGATCTGCTTCCTGGAGGTGGTTCTAGATGTGGTTATGTAGGTATGTTCTGGAGTCCAGGCTGTCTGGGTGTGATCCTGGCTCCTTTGATGACTGGCCTGACCTTGGATAAAGTGCCACAGCCACCACTTTCTGATATCATGGAGATAATAAGGTTACGGGGAGGATTAAATGGAGTGAGGGATGTATAATGTTCAGAGTGCGGGCACAGAGGGAGGGCTCAGTGTTGTTAGCAATTATAACCATGTCTCTTC